TAGATTTATCAACAGCGAACGTGGATGAAATTTGCGAATGGCTGAAACAGTTAGATATTGACCGTGAAACTGTCAACCACTTCAAACGTAACGGAGTTACAGGCGACGATTTGGCGGATATAACCTATGAAGATTTAGTGAATGACTTGGACGTCAAACCGTTTATCGCTAAGAAGATATTGAAACGTAGAGACAAAGAGCTTGGACGAAGTAGTGCATTCTCTCATGACATGTCTACTCCAAAGAAACAATCCGGTGAGAGTAGGGTATATGCTAACTGTGGTTTTGCAGCTCTTCTTGTGTCGTCTTTGCGATGGTATTGCGGTCATTTGAATTTCTTTGTGTCTGTTTGAAGAGTTTGTATTTATTGAATTACGGGTACATTTGGATAATTTATTCAAGTCGCGTCACGTACCTAGATGAAATATTTATATGTTATTGTATTTAATAGGAGATGGAGGTTCAAAGGTTAAACCCGAGCAGATCGTTTTCCGAGAACTAGCCTGTGAACTGGGAGACGAATTGAATGCATTAGGAAGTTACCTCGGATTGACCGCAGCCGCATTGAAAAGGATTACGCTCGATAATCGGTTTAGTACGGAGAATCAACTAGTGGAAATGTTCTTGCAATGGAGAAGGAGCCTGTCTATGTCAGATAATAAGTCCGAACTGTTATGTCGGGCGTTGGAAAGGTGTGGACGACGAGACTTGAGTGAGATCATAGCTGGAACACACTGGTAAACATTCAGTTATTCGGTTTATCAATCAAATTGTTTGTTCCATTCAGTTTATCGTCGTGACGATAAGAGTATGTTTAGCAAAGTAATTTAGCGAAGTGTTATAACAAAATAAATGAATAATTATAATATATATGTATGAACTGGAATTAAAAAAATATTAGCTCAGGTTGATCATGTGTATAGTTCACGAACGAGTTCACACTCTTTGAAATAAATGTAAGTGATAGCATACTTCTTTTAATGAGTTTGTTATGGCTGATATTGTGAAATGTAACGTTTATTCCTTAGTATGATGTATTGCCGTTGGTGATTGGCTGAAAGTGGTTGCCGGCGCATTGTACACAAGTAATAGTTTTAGTAATCCGCCAAATTTTGCGTGACATTCAGTTTAAATAGTGTGTGCGCATGGGCACGTGAGTTGAGTCGGTTGCGGGTAGAAACCCGGAATAGAGAGATCGAGAAGACAAGTTCACCATGCGGTAACAATAACTCAACTGTTTATTCGCTTCACTCGATTACATGCAAGTTACAATGAAACAACAAACAAACTACTAATAGTAACACCGGGATGTGATTGGTTGAAATAACTGTGGGTGTGGCAACAGCAGTGGGTGTCTAATTAGGTCAGACTAACAGTCTCCACATAGTGTTTACTTATAATAGTGGGTTATAAATCCTAAGCTGACTATTGTTCTATCAATTAAAACGAAACAGTATTTTATTATAATAGCTATGTGGATGGGATTTCAGATCAATCATTATTTTTATGTGGGAACTATTGTCTACTTGTGCCTGGAGCACGAAGAAGACAAGAAGGCGAAATTAGTAACGCCATGCGGGAGAGTCATAACCGACAACTAGTTTCAATACTGTGATAAATCCACATACGCAGTATACCTGGAATAATAACGTTTTCAAACTCACTTGGGAGAAGTTTCATCGCGTCTAGGAGATAACTAAATGGAATTGTCATACACCTTGAAGTATGACTGCGAGTACTACTCTCCGCGAGTGAACGCCCCATGATACATTGCGAGGAGAGCTAAACATGGCCGCCTCCATATTACGCTTTCGTTTTGTGTGATTTATCGAACTTGTCTCGTAAATCATTGAACTGACGTGCTGTTCTTCATTAATCGGGGATCACAAGCAACCTATTCTTGCCTAACTTCTGGTTGCTGTTTCCCGATGTCAGTGAGTAGGATTAATGAAAGCCTTTGCGAGTATCCATGAACATGAAGCTACGCTAATTTATAGCAACTGAATCAAATCGGATCGACGTACATATACGTGTTAGTAACATTTGTTTGCCATTGGCGGATTTAGAGGGGGGCCGAGGGGCCTCTATTTTTAACAACCATCAGGGCTTCGCGCCTTCGGCCAACTTATCGGCCCCCTATTCCAGAATCCTAGATCCGCCCCTGTTTGCCAACTCCGAATTCAGACGAGTCGTGAAAACTTTTAGTCCCCGCCGTGATCAACATTATCCAGTCACGTGTTGTAACTGATCTATGACGCGTGTGTGTTTATTTCGTACTTCTACTACGTCGTTTAGAACACCAAAGTGAAGCGTGGGTGAGCCTTCTATAACCAGAACACTGATTGAACTCTCCCTGTAATGCCCCACGACGCTATTGTAAGGAGTTATTACATTTATTTGTATGATTTTTGTTTTGGATAATATTCAAGCTGATCAATACTGTGACCCTATTTATTGAGCGATTATTGTTATCACTTTATACATTTAGCTAATATTTCTGTAGTGTGTTACCACAGGGAGCCCGGGAACTATGATAAACTATACGAAGTCCCTATGAGCAGGGGGGGGGGTATCGGCCGGTATCCAGTGTAAGAAATAGACAAGGGATGAAGGCTTCAGCCAGCTCACATTTTTTAAACTCGAAAAAACAGTAAAAAAGAATGAAAAATAAAATCTAAAAAAATTACAAGGTTGAAGAATATTAGTTGCTCTTTCAAATTTCGCCAAAGCCTTATCTACATTTTACCGATATCTGCAAAATAAATCAAGAAAACTACACAAATTGACTCCATTTATGAACCAATAACGGTTGGCCCGAATGCACGGCACAGTTGGAGGCGTGGCCTGTCAACAATCAATCATGAGACTGGTGACGAACCACAACGAAGTTACGATTCGGTTAGCCTCCTTCAACTGGCTCGTAACAAGGTTTGTGATTGATTTTTGACAAATTTTGAACAGATATCGGTAAAATGCGTGGTGCAAAAATCGGGGAGCAAATAGACCAAATCCTAAGTTATGGATGTATGATAAAAATGTGTGTGATGATGTGAGACATAAGAAACGGGAAGATGCAACCTACGACGAGCTGTTTGACGCTGCTAGAAATGCCGAACAAAAGGTAATGGGTTGATAATAGCAGTTAAATCCAGGACTTGGAAAGCGCATGCAGCAGTTGATGGTAAGGCAGACATAGAAGATTTTAAAGAAGCTCGGGACTCCCTTCAAATAAAGAAAATATGAATACCATGGCTCAAGCAATGCAATTGATGAAAGAGCAGAACTAATTATTAGGCCACACCGACTTAATTTTATGGATGACATCCGCGCGCGCATTAGTTTTAGCCTGTTCTCAAAAAAAAAAAAAAAAAAAAATTCCGATGACAAGTCTCCACATATCGGTTTTCTGTCCAGAACTTGCTGACTCATATTGTCGCAAAGCGCCGGCTTGTCGTAAAACTCGTTTTGGACTGACTCTAAACGTGCCAATTTTGTCGTAAATGATCTTCTGCACATGCGTATTGTGTTGCCGGGAATTCCAACATGCCGACTACGCTACCAAAATAGGTGAGCATTAAAGTTCAGAGAAAAAACGGAGGGATTGTTGTTGACTGGTACACAATTGACGTCGGCCAGGGAGAGTCCTGTGGATTTAACAGGATTTTTTTTTTTGGCAAGATTTTTTTCTCGCCCTCTCGCATTAGTTTTGGGGTCTCCAGAGGATGTCATCCATAAAATTAAATCAGTGTAGCCTTAGTGAAGAAATTTAATGATATGGAGCATCGCATGGCAGAGGTGGCAACACAATCTACAGAACGTTTGCAAACCAAGGAACGCATTGTAAGATTGCTGTACAGGGTAGGTCAGGCGGGGTATCCAGGGCCCTTATGGACAAAGAGATTGGCAGAATCGAGACCAAGCGCAGTTCACATGTTACAATTGTGGAGAGATAGGCCACAAATCGGTTGACTGCACTTCCCCCTGTAAAAGATGTAAACAACATGGTCATCCGCTAGGAAAATGTCCTACAGGTAAGGGTAGACAATAATCTAAGTCTATTATAGGCCAGGCCAGAAAACACACATGTCATTATTGACATTCTTCCGCCATATAGTTTTCACGTTCTTCATACTGTTTTAATGACTTTCACTTTCGTCAAAATTATTAATTTCAATATGTATTTTTGACAGATATAATGAGCTTGTGGTTAAGGTAGCGGGACTATTATTTGCATACTTGTTTTCATCTTCTATTTGTGACTAAATGACTACAAATAGACCCGGGAAAGTATATATTTTTAGAATCGCCAGACTTCAAGCTTTTCACAAGTGTATTTTGCATGCCCGTATCTGCATTCTGCGACGCGTTACTCAATCAAAGGTGAAAAATTACTTTTT